TAGGGTTCAATATTGAGTTGGCCCCGCCCTTCCCACACACACATGACCTTTAATGGCCCCCCAGTCTTAGTCCGTAGGGTTCAATATTGGGTTGGCCCCGCCCTTTCCACACACATGACCTTTAATGGCCCCTCAGTCTTAGTCCGTAAGGTTCAATATTGAGTTGGCCCCGCCCTTTGCACACACATGACCTTTAATGGCCTCCCAGTCTTAGTCCGTAGGGTTCAATACTGAGTTGGCCCCGCCCTTTCCACACACATGACCTGTAATGGCCTCTCAGTCTTAGTCCGTAGGGTTCAATATTGAGTTGGCCCCGCCCTTCCCACGCACATGACATTTAATGGCCCCCCCAGTCTTAGTCCGTAGGGTTCAATATTGAGTTGGCCCCGCCCTTTGCAGCTATAACAGCTTCACCTCTTCTGGGAAGGCCGTCCACAAGGTTTAGGAGGGTGTCTATGGGAAGGTTGGACCATTCTTCCAGAAGCACATTTGTCAGGTCAGGCACTGATGTCGGGGGAGGAGGCCTGGCTCGCAGTCTCCGCTCTAATTCATCCCAAAGGTGTTCTATGGGGTTGAGGTCAGGACTCTGTGCAGGACAGTCAAGTTCCTCCACCCCAAACTGGCTCCTCCATGTCTTTATGGACCTTGCTTTGTGCACTGGGGGGCAGTCATGTTGGAACAGGAAGGGGCCATCCCCAAACTCCTTCCACAGAGTTGGGGGCATGAAATTGTCCAAAAATGTTGCCTTAAGAGTTCCCTTCACTGGAACTAGGGGGCCAAGCCAACCCCTGAAAAATAATCCCCCCCACCAAACTTTACACTTGGCACAATGCAGTCAGGCAAGTACTGTTCTCCTGGCCACCGCCAAACCCAGACACGTCCATCGGATTGCCAGACAGAGAAGCGTAATTGGTCACCCCAGAGAACACGCCTCCTCTGTTCTAGAGTCCAGTGGCGGCGTGCTTTACACCATGGCATCCGACGCTTTGCATTGCACTTGGTGATGGAAGGCTTGGCTGATGCTGCTCGGCCATGGGGCGGCGCGTTCCCAGCACAAAGACAGGTACACAACTATGCGGCCCCATGGAAAAAAGCCCAGTTCCATGAGGCTGCATATTTGTGTGACGTCGGCATCAAGGGGTCAATGTGGGCACAAGAAAAGGCACTTTGTAGGAACCCAAAAAAAAGGGGGGGATTGTGAAAAGAAATTCACAGAGAAAGTGGCTACATTATGAACAGAATGTGATACTCAGAAAAATTTCCAAAAATTATGCTTTATTACATATACAAATTTGACATTTGGGCAATCGCCCTGGTTTACCATCACCTCAGTATGAGACAATACACACAGACCTAAAACCATTTAAAATGACACCAAGACCGGTCTAAATACATGTGCAACAAAGACAGTGACTACTAGAGTCTAAAGTCTTTGTAGCACTGGCGCATAGGTGAACACTTCCCACAGGAGGTGTATGCAAAAATTATACCATAGGTATACCATGTAACATGTTGTAAATATGTAGACATATGCTACTACCAAAATGGTTATATCCCAAGCAGGGAGTTTCAAAAAATTATACTATAGATATAAAATATCACATGTATGCAGTGCAGCAAGCACAGTGTGCGTCAAAAAGAGAAGCATGCCTCTAGGCCTATATGAGACAAAAAAATGAATGTCATATATAAAATGCAGTACATTCCTGTGCCGGCACATGTGGTTGGGGCCCATTCATCTGTAATATAAGCGACTGTTTCCTTAGAGCTCTTAAATGAGAATAAGCCCCATTTGTTACCAGGATGGAAGGATAGATGCAAATAGCAGAGCACTGCTTGAAATGGTTTCTTCACCACTGTATGTGGACTACACACCACTTTCTGTAAGGAAAAGCAAAGACACATCCCAATAGATCTTCTGCCTGTTGAGATACACGTGGTATATCTTGTTTCCTATGAAAAGCACCGTGATGTCCCCCATCCTGTAGTGAAACAGACAATGTGTGGAAAGTCACTGGAGGAGCTTTACTCTATATAAGATGTATAGGTCATATCGATCACATAGGACCATATAAACTAGTGTCCTGTAACAGTCCACTCACCACCCTGCGCAATGGATAATAGGAGAGGAAAAGATGTCCTTCATAAGTACTGCCATGCGAGGCCAGAGAGGCCAAGGAACCAACCGCTGACATCAGCCGATATACCGCGGGTTCCGACCTCTTCTCGGCGCCTGTGCTGCTTAAGCTTGCCTCATGGCATGTGAAGATGGCTTCCTCCTTTGTAGGTCAGCAGTGCGTTCCACCTAGTGCACATGACCGGAAGTGACGTATGACGTCAACGCGTTTCGCCGATGGGCGTATCTCACTCAGCTTCGTCAGGACCAATGAGATTCCTGCATTCCAGTTTTCTATTTTTATAGTGGGTTAAGACCCACCCATTTATGCAAAAAAATTAACTACTTTGTAGTAGAAACCCATCTGAGGTACGGCTTCCAGTTGTGTTCGGCGGTGGGGGTATCTGCGGTGGTGTCTCCGGGTCGGTGGTGTTGCAGCTGGAGGTAGGTACTCGTTTTCTTGATGATGCCTATTGGGACCTTGAAAAAAACATATGTTTATAATGTGTGTTTTTCTGTTATTTATTGATGGTTGTAATTAAAAAGGCCGTTTTTGGGCCATTAACTTCATTTTGTTGTCAGTGGGGTTACTTGAGGTTAAGGATGGGGGGTAAGTATGGGTTTAGAGGGACTGGATCAAGCCATCTGTAGTCCCCGGGTCATGAGTCCCATGGTCATGGTCTGTATCATGGCCGTATTGTCTCCCTTGCCTGGCAACACAGTTCCATTCAGTTTTGGTTGTGGCGTCATTTTAAAAATCGCACCTGCTTACTTCTTGTGCATTGAAGTGAATGGGGCTGCCAGCAACGCGCTGCACGCCAACGCAGAATACTGCGCAAGCTTCAAATGCTTTCTGGTGTGAAGAGGCCCCGATAGTTACTGACCGGTCCACTTTAATGGGGGGGTGCACAGCGCCTGATAAGTGATTTCATAGGCCGGTTCACGCCATGCCGGAGGAATTTGCCGTCTGGGAATTCTGCGTAGAATAACCTTTAAAAGGACATTGGGAGTCCCTGAGGACTTCACACGGCTGCCTTCCGTCTATCGGGAGTTATAGAGGACGATGTTCCTACAAAATATCACACAATCCTTTTAACATTACTTATGCTTTATGCCCCCAATGCCACCCGCTGGATGAAGGACAGGATCTCCTCCACAAGAATTATATATTCATTTATTGGAGGACTTGGAAGCCGCCCCTAGAAAAGCGTCCAGGAGAACGAATTCATGGATTCTACTTCCACATTCGGAAAATAAAACTCCAATCATACATTGGCCGAGCAGGATGAGGGTCGGGGTCGGGGAGCTTTTGTTCGCTTCAAGCGGGTTATGCATTCCCATTAGTGATGACCCGGAAACCCCCGTGATTGGTTCGCGGGCGGACATGCGAACCTAATGCATGTCTATGGGACTCGAACTTGTAAATTCAAAAGTGCCCATTGTGAAGGCTTCTATGCAAGTTGATGGCCATAAAAGGGGACTCGGGGAAACTCGGGGATCCCCTGAGGGACTTGAATCGGTACAGAAAAAAAAAGATTTTTTTTTTAAAAAAAGTACCGTTTTTTAAAGCGGCAGTCATTTTTCATTGCTTAACCACTTCCCATCCGGCCCATGTACATAAACGGTCAGGCGGGGAGCGCTGCCGAAGCGGGTCGCCGTTTTATAAATGTCCTCCCGCGTTCACTGCCTGTGTGCGCTCCCTGGGAGTGTGCGGCACTGCGATCCGGTGCCCGCTGTGTTCTACAGATCGCTGTATGGGACCTCTCTGTGAGGTTCCCGATCATGTGATCAGTGATTGGCCAATCAGTGACCACATGAATAGTAGTAAGCAAGATTTCACTTCTGACATCATTGCTTACTATTTATGAAATCTGTGAATGAACACAGAGATCACATGGTACAGGGCCATTCACAACTGCCTCGTACCATGTGACAAGTTGTGAGCAATCACAGCATCCCACAGTATTTCTCAATGGCTGCAGGGAATGCAGCCAGAGAGAAGGAGAAATGATTGCTTTTACAGCCTTTATGAGTGTAAAAGCAATCAGTATTAAAAAAAAAAAAAAAAAAAAAAATCTTCATCACCCCCCACAAATACTACAATGTCACCATGGTAACAGTGCACTGCTAGGGTGACAGTATGTGAGAAAAAAATAGATAATAATATAAAAAAAATAAAATAAAAATGTAAAAAAAAGATTTTACATTATAATTTTTTGGTTATAAACTAATTTGGGTTTATTTTATTTTACTATAAAGATTATAACGGAATACATTTTGGCCGAGATTTATGAAGAAATATTATATTTGAAAAATTTTACAAGAAAAACACTTGTTTGGATTTTTTCATTTGTATAGCAAAAAAAAATTAAAAAATCCCAGCGGTGAATAAATACCACCAAAATAAAGTTTTATCTGTCTCCAAAAAATGCTAAAAAAATTCATATGGGTACAGTGTTGCATGACCGCGGCAATTGTCATTCAAAGTGTGATAGCGCTGAAAGCTGAAAATTGCCCTGGACTGGAAGGGGGGGTGAAAGTGTCCGGACTGGAAGGGGGGGGGGGAAAGTGTCCGGACTGGAAGGGGGTGTGAAAGTGTGAAAGGTCCGGACTGGAATGGGGGGAAAGTGTCCGGACTGGAAGGGGGGGAAAGTGTCCGGACTGGAAGGGGGTGAAAGTTTGTCCGGACTGGAAGGGGGTTGTGAAAGTGTCTGGACTGGAAGGGGGGGAAAGTGTCCGGACTGGAAGGGGGGGAAAGTGTCCGGGGACTGGAAGGGGTGAAAGTGTCCGGACTGGAAGGGGGGGAAAGTGTTCCGGACTGGAGGGGGGGGGAAAGTGTCCGGACTGGAAGGGGGTGAAAGTGTCCGGACTGGAAAGGGGTGAAAGTGTCTGGACTGGAAGGGGGGGAAAGTGTCCGGACTGGAAGGGGGGGGAAAGTGTCCGGACTGGAAGGGGGTGAAAGTGTCTGGACTGGAAGGGGGGGAAAGTGTCCGGACTGGAAGGGGGTGAAAAAGTGTCCGGACTGGAAGGGGGGTGAAAGTGTCTGGACTGGAAGGGGGTGAAAGTGTCCGGACTGGAAGGGGGGGGAAAGTGTCCGGACTGGAGGGGGGTTAAAAGTGTCCACTGGACTGGAAGGGGGGGGGGGGTAAAAGTGTCCGGACTGGAAGGGGGGGTAAAAGTGTCCAGACTGGAAGAGGGGGAACGTGTCCGGACTGTAAGGGGGGGGGAGTGTACCGGACCGGAAGGGGGGGAAAATGTCCAGACTGGAAGGGGGGGGAAAGTGTCCGGACTGGAAGGGGGTGAAAGTGTCCGGACTGCGGAAGGGGGGTGGGTAAAAGTGTCCAGACTGGAAGGGGGGGGTAAAAAGTGTCCGGACTGGAAGGGGGGTAAAAGTGTCCAGACTGGAAGGGGGGGGGGGGGGAAAGGAAAGTGTCCGGACTTGAAAAAAAAAAAAGAATTCCTTTAACCTCCACCAACAATGGGGCACTATTCCTCCCCCTGACACCAACGATAGGCACTCTTCCTCCCCCTGACAAGCCACCAACGATAGGCACTCTTCTCCCCTGACACCAACGATAGGCACGAACATCCAGCCCATCCCTAATTCCCATGCAAGCCTATTGCCCCCCCCCCCCCCCCCCCCTTGAAGCAAGTCAGATGCAGATCCGAAGGAAATCAACTGAACTTGTCAACTGGGTGGATTTACTAAAGGCGAATAGACCAAGGGCAATGGCTCCAGAGTTTGTAAATGAGGTGAAGCTTCACTTTACAATGAATACCCAATCACAGGCAAGGAAAAAAAAAAACAAAAAGCATTTTTGCTTGCACACGATTGGATGAGATGGAAGTCAGCAGATCTCCCCCTCATTTACGAAGCTCTGGAGCAACTGCACTTGCAGAGTTCACAAGTCTATTTGCCTTTAGTAAATCCACCCCTCGAAGTCGCTGTGACCTTCCGTAGACCTGAAGAACATACAAGCCAGCTATAGTGTCTGACCACCTGCGTAGCCAGTCTCTGGGTGGACACCAAACCTGATTTAGGCCAGCCAAGCCTGCAGTCCCATACTTGTGATCTTGCGTTTATAAGTACCGGTTTGCTTTGCTCAGTTCGCACCTGCCTCGGGTGTGGTAGCCTGGCACTACAGCATTGGGTATAAGCCCTGGGGGGGCAACCGAGTCAAGTAGGCCTGCTTGCTTTATGGGGAAAAGGGGGTGTTATCAGTGAAGAAATACAGAAGCCAGCTATAGTGTTTGATAACCTGCGTAGCCAGTCTCTGGGTGGAGACCAAACCTGATTTAGGCCAGCCAAGCCTGCAGTCTCATACTTGTGATCTTGCGTTTGTAAGTACCGGTTTGCTTTGCTCAGTTCGCACCTGCCTCGGTGTGGTAGCCTGGCACTACAGCACTGGGTATAAGGTCCTGGGGGGCGAGTACAGGTAGGCCTACTTGTCTTATGGGAAAGGGGGCTGCTATCGGTGAAGTCCATAGAAGCCAGCTATGGTGTCTGACCACCTGTGTTAGGGGCAAGTTGGGGGTGGCACTCGTTTTACACACGGGGGACAGTCATGGGGGAACAGAAAAGGGTCTTCAAAACTGTTACCACAAGGCTGGAAGACCATAACTGTCTCCAATGTCTTTGTATGATGAAGTATTCGGGACCCCTCACTGGGGGACACCTGATAATAGGTGCAATGGTCAGGAGTACACAAGCTTTTGGCCATACGGTGTAAATGTGTCCCCTTGACGATAAGTTCTACTCAATCCAGACCCGACGTTTGAACTGAGTGTGATGTCTGTGGTGTGGAGCGTACGGTGCAAAGGACACGGACCGCAGTTTGTAGGACTACAAAATGTCACCGTGAAGGATTCCCTGTCCCCAGGAGGCTTGTCCATAACACATCAAGGCAGGGTGAAGGTCAGCTGCAAAAACGCATCCAGCTGATATGCCCCAAAGCCATGATAGCTCCACGGCTTCAGTCTGTAACCCTCTGCGTCCTTCCCAGGCATGAGAGTCCTACTTGTATGCAAAGGACAACCATGACCGGAATCAGGAACTTTTTTTTTAATCAGAACGGGAATCATTGTGCTTTTATTTTAAACAATTCGCTGAACAATCCTCTACAGACTGAAGGGAGATGTGGGGGAGCAGGAATAGGGTTCACGTTTGCTGCTACTGTGGGATTGCGGGGACTCTCTGGGACTGCGGGGACTCTCTGGGATCGGGGTGACTCTCTGGGACTGCGGGGACTCTCTGGGACTGCGGGGACTCTCTGGGATCGGGGGGACTCTCTGGGACTGCGGGGACTCTCTGGGACTGCGGGGACTCTCTGGGATCGGGGGGACTCTCTGGGACTGCGGGGACTCTCTGGGACTGCGGGGACTCTCTGGGACTGCGGGGACTCTCTGGGATCGGGGGGACTCTCTGGGACTGCGGTGACTCTCTGGGATTGCGGTGACGCTCTGGGATTGTGGGGACTCTCTGGGATTGTGGGGACTCTCTGGGATTGTGGGGACTCTCTGGGATTGAGGGGACTCTCTGGGACTGCGAGGACTCTCTGGGACTGCGGGGACTCTCTGGGACTGCGGGGACTCTCTGGGATTCAAGAGTTTCGCAAATCGCAAACTTTTGGTTGCTGAAAATAAAGGACAACCTATTATTTAGTACAGACTGTCTAAACAAATGGTCAGTTCATTGTAATTCAGACCTTATGGGGGCCGGATTGTGGCCAGTGAGGGTAGAGCATGTCCCAGTGGTGGTCAGTAGGAGGAGATAGAGTGCCCATCATTGTTATCAGTGGAGGAATAGTGCCCCATCATTGGTGTCAGTGGGAGGAATAGTGCCCCATCATTGGTGTCAGTGGGGGGAATAGTGCCCCATCATTGGTGTCAGTGGGAGGAATAGTGCCCCATCATTGGTGTCAGTGGGAGGAATAGTGCCCCATCATTGGTGTCAGTGGGAGGAATAGTGCCCCATCATTGGTGTCAGTGGGAGGAATAGTGCCCCATCATTGGTGTCAGTGGGAGGAATAGCGCCCATCATTGGTGTCAGTGGGAGGAATAGTGCCTCATCCTTGGTGTCAGTGGGGGGAATAGTGCCCCATCATTGGTGTCAGTGGGAGGAATAGTGTCCCATCGTTGGTGTCAGTGGGAGGAATAGTGCCCCATCATTGGTGTCAGTGGGAGGAATAGTGCCCCATCATTGGTGTCAGTGGGAGGAATAGTGTCCCATCGTTGGTGTCAGTGGGAGGAATAGTGTCCCATCGTTGGTGTCAGTGGGAGGAATAGTGTCCTATCGTTGGTGTCAGTGGGAGGAATAGTGTCCCATCGTTAGTGTCAGTGGAAAGAATAGTGTCCCATCATTGGTGTCAGTGGGAGGAATAGTGTCCCATCGTTAGTGTCAGTGGAAAGAATAGTGCCCCATCATTGGTGTCAGTGGGAGGAATAGTGCCCCATCATTGGTATCAGTGGGAGGAATAGTGCCCCATCTTTGGTATCAGTGGGAGGAATAGTGTCCCATCATCGGTGTCAGTGGGAGGAATAGTGCCCCATCATTGGTGTCAGTGGGAAGAATAGTGTCTCATCTTTGGTGTCAGTGGGAAGAATAGTGTCCCATCATTGGTGTCAGTGGGAGGAATAGTGCCCTATCGTTGGTGTCAGTGAGAGGAATAGTGCCCTATCGTTGGTGTCAGTGGAAGGAATAGTGCCCTATCGTTGGTGTCAGTGGGAGGAATAGTGCCCCATCATTGGTGTCAGTGGGAGGAATAGTGCCCATCATTGGTATCAGTGGGAGGAATAGTGCCCCATCCTTGGTGTCAGTGGAAGGAATAGTGCCTATTGTTGGTGTCAATGAGAGGAATAGTATCCCATCCTTGGTGTCAGTGAGAGGAATAATGCCCCATCCTTGGTGTCAGTGAGAGGAATAATGCCCCATCCTTGGTGTCAGTGAGAGGAATAGTGTCTCATAGTGCCCCTATGATTGGCATCAGTGGTCCCTTACATTGGTGTCAGAGGGAGAAATGGCTCGTAGCAATCTGCAGAGGAACGAATGATCGATCTTCCTTGGGGCCGGTAGCATAGATTGGTTACAGTTTGTTCTTCGATTTCTGTCTACATTGTATATTTATTGGAAATATTCCTCAACAGAACGTTTCCAGGGAAGGTTGGGCCGTGGCTTGTCGGTGGCGTCTGGGTCCGTGGCATAGTGTGCCAAATCTCAGTGAAAAGTTCGATGTATTTGGTTCATAAATGGCTCAGCAAACGTTCGCTGTTTTCCAAGCTCTAGGTGTCGATGGAAGTATCGAGCCGCCAAAGCGTTAATGAGCGCGGGCCGCCGGAGACGCTCGTCAGCACACGGGGAGATCGGAAACTCGCTCCTGTGAGTGTCGCCGTCCTTCACGTTTCCATACAGAAGATTGACGGATCAGACGTGCCGCGGACGCGCGATGGTGTCACTGCACAGCGGGTCCCGGCTCCGGGGGAGGTTGTATGAGGACAGGTAGGTATCCCCCCCCCCTCCTGGCGTTTACTGGGGGGGGCTTTGGGGGGGTTCCGCCCGTCTCCGCTGAGCCATAGTCCGCTCTCGGGGGGGGGGGGCAGATTGATGAGTTGAATTCATTTCCTGTGCAGTTCTCATCCTCCGGAGATTTCATTTCATGTGACAAGTTTTGTTCACATTCTGAGATCCGGAATCCTCAGCTTTCCCCGTAAATACTCATTAAATTTCCGGATTTCCACCCAAATGTTGGCTTCCCGCAGTTTGTGGCGCTGCGGACCCCAGACGGCGGATCCGGAATATTCCACGGACTGACGTTCGGTTATTTTGTTTATTTGGGAGAAGTTTTGACGGCGCCGCCATTCGGCATTTTATTGCTTGCGGCGGATGTGCGAATTCGAGGACAGATATCGTACCACCGAAATCTCCGGGAGGTTCAAACATAATATTATTTAAAGGCCAACTCCAGCCCGAACCAAGCCTGAATGGAGGGGGGGGGGGGGGGGAAACCATTGCAGCCTTTTACTATGTGACCTTGCTACAAAGTTACAATGTACAGTCTGATCACTGGGGGAGGGGAGACTGAAGAAATGCCTCCTCCTCCTTCTACAAAGTTACAATGTACAGTCTGATCACTGGGGGAGGGGAGACTGAAGAAATGCCTCCTCCTCCTTCTACAAAGTTACAATGTACAGTCTGATCACTGGGGGAGGGGAGACTAAAGAAATGCCTCCTCCTCCTTCTACAAAGTTACAATGTACAGTCTGATCACTGGGGGAGGGGAGACTGAGGAAATGCCTCCTCCTCCTTCTACAAAGTTACAG